TCGCTATTAATTTTTTAAATCACTTGACAGCCCTTTTATTTATATATATATATAAATAAAAGGGCTGTCAAGTGATTTAAAAAAATTAATAGCGATTAATCGCACTGTTAAACATTAGAATACCATTTATTTAAATATTTTTGGGTGTTTTCCACACTCAAATATATCAATTTCAATTATAACAGAATACAAAGTGTACAGTGCTCACTTTATATTTATTTTTGATTACAAATATTTGCACAGTAAAAAACAAAAGAAATAGTATTTTTTAATTCACAAAGTACTGTAATGCAATCTCTTTAGCATGAAAGTTCAACTTACAAATGTAGAATTATGTACAAAAAATAACTGCATTCAAAAATAAAACAATGTAAAACTTTAGAGCCTACAAGTCCAGTCAGTCCTACTTCTTGTTCAGCCAATCACTCAGACAAACAAGTTTGTTTACATTTGTAGGAACTAATGCTGCCTGCTTCTTGTTTACAATGTCACCTGAAAGTGAGAACAGGCATTCTCATGGCACTGTTGTTGCCAGCGTTGCAAGGTATTTACGTGCCAGATGCAGTAAAGATTCATATGTCCCTTCATGCTTCAACCACCATTCCAGAGGACATGCCGATGATGGGTTCTGCTCGATAACTATCCAAAGCAGAGCGGCCCGACGCATGTTCATTTTCATCATCTGAGTCAGGTGCCACCAGCAGAAGATTGGTTTTCTTTTTAGGTGGTTTGGGTTCTGTAGTTTCCACATCTGAGCGTTGCTCTTTTAAGACTTCGGAAAGCATGCTCCACAACTCGCCCCTCTCAGATTTTGGAAGGCACTTACCTTGGGTCGAGTGCTGTAGTTATCTTTAGAAATTTTACATTGGTAACTTCTTTGCATTTTGTCAAATGTACAGTGAAAGAGTTCTTATAACGAATATGTGCTGAGTCATCACCACAGACTGCTATAACAAGAAATATATGGCAGAATGCGGGTAAAACAGAGCAGGAGACATACAATTCTCCTAAGGAATGCAGTCACAAATTTAATTAACGCTTTTTTTTTTAAATGAGCGTCATCAGCATGGAAGCATGTCCTCTAGAATGGTGGCCAAAGCATGAAGGGGCATACGAATGTTTAGCATATGTGGCATGTAAATACCTTGCAATGCCCGGTACACCAGTGCCTTGCGAATACGTGTTCTCATTTTCAGGTGATATTGTAAATAAGTGGGCAGCACTATCTCCCATAAATGTAAACAAACTTAATTTGTCTGAGCAACTGGCTGAACAAGAAGTAGGACTGAGTGGACTTGTAGGCTCTAAAGTTTTACATTGTTTTATTTTTGAATGCAGGTTTTTTTTGTACATAATTCTACATTTGTAAGTTGAACTTTCATGTTAAAGAGATTGCACTACAGTACTTGTAGTAAGTGAATTTTAAAATGCTATTTGTTTTTTTACAGTGAAAATATTTGTAATAAAAATAAATATGAAGTGAGCACTGTACACTTTGTATTCTGCATTATAGTTGAAATCAATACATTTGAAAATGTAGAAAAAATCCACAAATATTTAATACATTTCTATTGGTATTTATTGTTTAAAAATGCGATTAATTTTTTTAATCACTTAATTTTTTGAGTTAATTGTGTAAGTTAACTGCGATTAATCAACAGCCCTAATATATATGAAATTCTAAAAGTACTTTGGCCATTTATGTATTAAGCGTTCCCATAGAACCAAATACATCTATTTCAGATGCCATTTTAATAAATGCAAGAACTGCCATACTGGACCAAATCTAGTCCAGTATCTAGTCTGACAGCAGCCACTTCAAGATGCTGAAAGGAGGTCCAAGAACCCCAACAAAATCTTGGCAATGGTTAGGCTGCTTGTGTGCTGAGCCCACTGCCTATCATACCTGTATTGGCTCATTGTACTCCCCTGTCTGTATCCATCTGTAGTCTCTTGTTCTATATTTAGACTATAAACTCTTTTGGGTAGGGACTGTCTTTGTTCTGTATTTGTACAGCAGCAAACACAATGGAGTCTTGGTCCATGGCTGGGGCTCCTAGGTGCTACAATTATACAAATACATAATAATGTAATAGGCAGTTATTGAACAACCTGCCCCATGAAAAGTTTCTTTCTAACCCTCAGCAGTGAGAGATCAGCTTATGTCCTGAAGTGAGGAGGTATACCTGACGTTTTTCCTTTAAGCTTTACTAATGCTGGATGTTCTTGCTATCCACACAATACTTAAACCTTAACTGAAGTCTGATAAGCCTTTGGCAGTGAATATATTTTTTGGCAATTAATTCTCTGGGTTCATTATATGAGCACAGTATTCCGGGGTGGCCATATTATTGGTTTATAGAATAGGATAATGTTTACTATTATTCTCCATCCCACTCCTTAAACATCCTAACAGTTTTCTTTTTTGACCATTGCTGCACACTAAGCAGAGGTCTTCACTGAGCTGTCCATAAGGATGCCCAGCTTTTCCTCAGTTGTTACAGTTCATTTAGAACGGAGTCAGATGTACGAGTAGTTAAAATTATTCCTTCTAATGTGCAATACTTTGCACACTTAAACAAGTCAGGCAATTTTTCAATATGCTCTTTCATTAGTTTTTGGTATCGGGATAACATGTTCTAATGAAAAGCTCCCTCACTCCTACCCAACTGCTATCTGGTTTGCTTTCTTTCTAAAATTGAGCACTTTAATGGATCCTATCTCCATCATAATCAGGTCTACTGGGATCTTAAGAAGTGAGGGAGTCATATCTGAGGCTTTACTTCCTACACTCACAAGAGGCCAACATCTTTCCCACTTCTGAAGCACCCACCACTAATGAAAATTTGCTTCAGCTGAGACCATCACCAGATGCTGGAAATGGAACAGCCAGCCTCCCAATCTACCATTATAAAGCATTCGATTACTGCTAAGCTTAGAAGATGTTCAGTGGCAAGTATTATTTTACTTGAATTACAGACAGGATCCAGGCTTTTCTACAAGCCTGGAATTTGTTTTCAAAAGCCTATCAGAAATACCCTTACTCAAGCAGACACCGCCATGTTGTTGGGGAACTGTTCCTACTTCATAATTATTGAAGTGACTATCAGTTTCGGTCTAGTTACATGTGAATTAAAAATATTTCATTGGAACCTGACATAATTGAGCTCAGTTTTGCATAATATCTTGTTATTTAACAATGCATGCAACAACAAGTTAAAATCAAAGGTAGGATACTTTAATAAAAGGCATGGCAAAAAAGTGCCAGAGGGAAATTTCTTACTTGCCAAATACAGACTAGGTGATTGTGCAACATGCAGGAATTTCCAGTCCAGAGACTGATAAAGTGTGTGCCCCATGGTAGAGAGGGATTCATTCTTCTCTTTTCCCCTCCCCAATGCAACTGGTCTGTTAATTTCTTCATTCTAAGGGCATAAATACATGCCACAATCTTATTTTGGCAGATTAGTGAAGCAAGTAAACATGCAGAATTTATTACTACTATACGATTGATATTTACTTAAGGGTAAGAAGATTAAAGTCAGGTTTGTTTTCACATAAGCTTTTTTATACAATCATCCCTCACACTTAAATGTAATAAGCTTGACTATTCATTGCCATTTCCACTTCAGAGACGCTAAATGCAAGGAAGACAAGGTTGTTGTAGAGAAGCTAAATGAATTTTCTGCATTGTCTTCACTGTAGAGGATGGGAGCGAGATTCCCACCCTTTAGCCATTCTCTGTAGAGGACAAATCTAAGGAACTGTCCCAGATTGAGGTGGTTTTGGAACACGTTGATAAATTAAACAATAAGTCACCAGGACCAAAGGGTATTCACCCAAAAGTTCTGAAGGAACTCAAATATGAAACTGCAGAACTACTAACTGTGGTATGTAACCTATTGCTTAAAATCAGCCTCTGTATCAGATGACTAAAAGGATACCTAATGCTCTTTTTCTTTTTTTTTCTTTTTTTTAATAAATAAGGCTCCAGAGGCAGTCCTAGCAGCTACGAGCAGGTAAGTGTAACTTCAGAACCAGACAAATTGGTTGAAACTTTAGTAAAGAACAAAATTATCAGACATATACAGAACCACAATATGTTGGGGAAGAGTCAACATAACTTTTGCAAAGGGAAATCATGCCTGACAATCTATTAGAATTATCTGAGGTGGTCAACAAGTATATGGACACGGGTGATCCAGTTTATATAGTGTACTTGAACTTTCAGAATGCCTTTGACAAGGTCCCACACCAAAGCCTCTTAAGCAAAGTAAGTAGTCATGGGATAAGAGGGAAAGTCCTCTCATGCAGCAGTAACTGGATAAGAGATAGGAAACAAAGGGTAGGAATAAACTGTCAGTTTTCACAATGGAGAGAGGTAAGTAGTGTGGTCCCCCAAGGATCTGTACTGAGACCTGTGCTACTCAACATATTCATAAGTGAGCTGGAAAAGAGGGCGAACAGTGAGGTGGCAAAATTTGCACAATTCAGAATTATTCAAGATAGTTAAGTCCAAGCTGAGAGCAAGAAGTTAAAGGGTTCTCACAAAACCGGATGACTGGACAACAAAAATGGCAGATGAAATTCAATGCTGAGAAGTGCAAAGCAATGCATATTGGAAAAATAAACCCAAACATACATACAAAATGATGGGTTCTAAATTAGTTGTTACGAGTCCAGAAAGAGTTCTTGGATAGTTCTCTGAAAACCATCTGCTTAATGTGAAGTGGCAATCAAAAAACGAATAGAATATTAGGATCCATTAGGAAATGGATAAATAAGACAGAAAAGATCACAATGCCACTATATAAATCCATGGTATGCCACACCTTGAATTCTGCATGCAGTTCTGGTTGCCCATCTCTAAAAAGATTAGAATTGGAAAAGGTGCAGAGAAGGGCAACAAAAATGATTAGGAGTATGGAATAGCTTCCATACGAGGACAGATTAAAAAAACTGGGATTGCTCATCTTAGAAAAGACTAAGGGGCAATATGATATAGGTCTATAAAATTGTGAATGCTATGGAGAAAGTGAATAGGGAAGTGTTATTTACCCCTTCACATAACACTAGAACCAAACATAAGAAAGTACTACTTATCACAACGCCAAAAGTGATGTCTTGAAGGCCAAAAGTATAACTGGGTTCAAAAAAGAAATATATAAATTCGTGGTGAATAGGTCCATTAATGGCTATTAGCCAAGATGGTCAGGAATGCAATTTCATAACCATATATCCCTAAGCCTCTGACTGCCAGAAGTTGAGACTGGACAACATGGGATGGATCACTGCATCTATTCATTCCCTCTCAAGCATCTGGAAGTGGCCACTGTCGGAAGGCAAGATATTGGGCTAGATGGACCATTAGTCTGATCCAGTATGGCTGTTCTTACGTTCACTGCAGTCAATAAAATATTTTTCAACTCTCACTGGAAGAAGTGTTAGGCCCTATCACTGAGCACTGTAGTGAGCATAATTCTGGAATGGAGGAAAACGCCAGAAACACCCTCATTAGAGATGTATGCCCATAATCATACATTTGTTTTTGTTGAATTTCAGAGGAAATGAAGCACAGAACCACTGGAAAGGAAAGAGGTGCTATTACAGCTCTAACTGGATCAAAATGAATGTCCTAAGCACTTATGGTCTAGTCAAACACAAAGTTTTGGTTAGTCTAGTAAGGCAACTAGTAACACTCTGAAGAGGCTCATTTTGGTTTCGAAAGAGCATCAGGTTTGAACAGTTCACTCGTTAAGCTGGTAACACAGTTTTGCCATACGGAAGACCAGGATATGGAGAATTAGAACAGGCTTTTCGCTCTCATAGCAGGGCATTGGAAGCACTGAAAAAAATGATGCTTTAGTTCAGATGGAAGGGGGCTGGTCTTACAGGAACACACTCCTTCCTCCAACAACCATATATATGTGTGTGTATGCACGCACAAGAGGAAATATCCCACTGAACTGAATAGGAAGCAAGTGGCAGCTCTCCTTTTGGACACACATGGCTGATATGGAGGAAGGAGTGGGTTAAGGGAAATTTTCTGACAGCTGAGACGACAGCAGGCCAGAAACTTCTCTCCCACGCCCCAGAATGATTCCTCAGAAGGAAGAGACAGTCCACCTATCTTATCAGCACCCTGCCACCTCCATTTCCCAAGGCAATTAAGAATTAATAGAGATGAGAGGGATTTTTCCTTCCACAGGTGAAACCCTAAGCCGAGACCTTGTTGGCCTGCGTGAATCCCTCTCCAGTGCTGCTCTGGTGTTGCCCCCACATTAGAGCATTACCCCAATCACACAAAAAAATTCCAGTGACTAAAAGTTAATCTACATTTAAAGAGAGAAAGTTATGGTTATATGCAAAATTTCAAAGTCTGAACAGAATATTTTCAGAAAAGAATCACCTGGCAATAAAAACCGGAACCATAAGTAGTAGTATTCTAATCTGATGAGGAAAAGGAGACCACAGCCCCTTTGATACAACCGCCGCAACAAAGAAGTGAGAGCTTTTTGGTGCTGTAAAGCAGCAGGTAATAAAACACACTGTTCCAAGAGCAGTGCACAACTGATGACAGATTCATATGGACACATGCATCCATTTTGACTTCTGTAGCATCAGAAACACAGCAAAAATTAACAAAAGTCAAACTACCAGCCAGGAAAACATTTTTAGTGATTCACAAAGATATTTCAAATAATGGAGTATTAATAAAATATAGGGATCAGACAAGGTGGTCTATCTAGTCTAGTATTTTGACTCAAACCATGGCCACCACCAGATGCATCAGAGAAAGGGTTAAGAAATACTGTAATGGATAAATATGGAATAATCTTCCCACTAGGAATTAGGAAGAAATTGCTTTGAGCAGGGCGTTCCTGCTTTGAGCAGGGGGTTGGACTAGATGACCTCCCTAGGTCCCTTCCAACCCTGATATTCTATGATCCCCATCAGTTTCCTCTCTTAAAGTCTCTCTTTAAAACTTGTGCTGAGATGCATACATAATCAGCTGTCGTGCTGTGACTGCTGCTCATTACGCTGGTTATAATCATCTCATGGCTACCACGTGCTATCACCTACCTGTCGTTTACTGTTTTATTTGTAGGCTGTAAGCAATTTCAGGCAGGAACTGTCCTTTTGTTATGTGTACATAGTCCCCAACACAATGGTGCCTCATTTACAATACAAATATTAAATAATTCTATGACTTAGCGACATCTCTCTAAAAACTAGTAAGTTGATAATATTCCTAGCAGAGTGTATCGTTTTGTCAGCTGAAAATATGAGTGTCGTACTATCTGAGCAAGACTAAACAGCACAGGAATTCTTATGTATAATCTCTACACACAAAATTATCCACTAACTAATCTCGGCTATTTCTATTACAAATGCAAAACTGATCCATGTCCACAAATAACATTCCTGAATGTTATCTCTGAAATACCTATTGTCAAAAAATAGCCAGCTTACCTCCATCATCCAGGGGCCTTTTTTGTACTCCATAACCATAGACAGAGGGGTCCACCAGTGGCGCGGTATTATTCAAGTGAGGAATATCTCCAATTTTAGCAGCAATCTGTTGAAGCAGATTTTTTTTTAAATTAGCATACATGAAATGTCAGCCTAGCAACTGAATTCTTTGGTCCTTGCTGTCCACTAGACCACTTTCTCCTGTTACTATTTTGTCTTTTTAGCCACTAAAATCAGGGCTTTCATGGTGCAAAGATGAAAAAAACTGCAATTTACTTTGCCAGTTATCAGAAGTAAGCAAAACCAGTTATTTCTATTTCAATAAGTTCTCCTTTGCCCAGCTTTGTTTCCTGTACGATGTCATAGACATTTATTTAAATATCAGATGTTATTAATAGAGGATGGTCCAGTAGTTAGGGTGCTAGCCTGGGACTCGGCAGCCCAATTCCATGCTCTGCAACAGACTTCCTGTATGATGTCAAGTCAGTCACTTGTCTCTCTGTGCCTCATTTCCTCGTCTGTAAAATGGGGATAGTAGCACTTCTTAAATCACAGGGGTGTTACAAGGATAACTACATTAAAGACTATGAGGTGTGCAGATACCATAGCAATGGGGCCAGACAAGTAACTCAAATAAAACATAGGGACACCAAGACACTACCCTAGTTTTTTAAAAAGGGATTTTTGTTAATAAGAGCAGCATAAAGTACATGAAATGATGCTTTATGCAAAACCTGACGAATGTTCAGAGAAGTATCGTATTCTATATTGTTCCCCTCATTCTTTTCCATGGAAAAATATTTCAACAGGCTCTGTATTAGGAGTTTGATGGAGGATTTAGTTCAGAAGGAGAATAAGTAGCAGAAACAATCAATTATTTCCATACAATCAGTTCTGATATCAGAATATTACTAATCGGGATTTCAGTAGAGAATAAGCAACAGGAACAAATTTAAAATATCTTTTTGCACAGATGTTCTTCATAATGAAGGGAAGCGAGATGGAAAAATATAACCAAAGGTGTTTCTAAAATGTAGCTTTCCTTGCAACAACTGACATATCTACAAGGGTTCAAGTTGCTGACACTACCAACGGCTGCAGAAGAAAAGCTTGGTCGTCCAAAATTCAGGATCTGCAGTTAGTGAAGTAGAAAGCTCTTTGTAACATGGATTTCTATTACACTAAGACACTGCTTTTCAGTTCGCTCTAAACAAACAAACAAAAAAATACCACACATACATCATTTGTACTACTGATAGTGAATGAAAATGGCCTTCGATTGTCTTTAGTCCGCCCCCGCCCTTTAAAAAAAAATATTAATAGTATCAAGAATGCAAGTTCCAAAAGAAGTTCTTGATTTCCCTTTTTCCTATTGTATTTTTGTAATCTCAATGGGGTGCACTTGCATGCCCACCTGGAAATTAACACAGGCAGCTGAAACCCACGTTGAATCTTTTCTAGAACAAAAGAACCCTCTTTCACTGAAGAGGAAGGGGTGGTCAGTCTTAGGGCCGGTCTAGTTTTTTTTTTTTTAATATATGGAATAATGCAGCACCACATAATGCTGCAATTAGAGAGACTGAAACCAAACAACTCAGGCATGGTTTATTTGTGTCACCCAAAACCACTGGCTTCATGTAAATACAATTTAGGGGTCATTAATATGTACTGTCCACCTCCCCACACATGTGCAGTGTCTCGGTTGCCTTCTTATGTAACTTGTCATATTCCACACCATGACATGTTTCTGGCCCTCCTCCCATCTGCTATCCCTCGCTTGGTTGCTTTATTAAAGCTATCTACATTTCAAATACCACTTCAATACTGAAAAATAAAGATTAACATCAGTTTTTGGAATCTACTAACAGCCCCTATGTAGTAATTTATAATCCACAGATCTGCAATAGACTGGGTCTGCCAGCCCTAACATACTGTGACACGTTACTGATATGTTTTAACAGGTTCATTGAAAACAGTCTCCCATTTTAACAGTTATTTTGTTCAATTCTCACCCCCTCTCCCCCAATTTCCACAACTGAATTTATACTTTAAATAGTTCATTTGGTCCAAATCCTGCCCTTGGCTACACCTGTGCTGTTTCCCAACCACCCTGCTAAGAGTAAAAAATATACAATTAGGGCAGAATTTGGCCCCCAGAAAGTAGACTAAAATTCAAAGTCAGCATTTTCACAATGCACAATTATTTCAAGCTGGTCAAGGCTTATGAAAATGTTAAAGATATATTTTAAAAAAACGCTGTTGGATTATACAGGGACCACTGACCAATTCATTACCACAGGAGAAAAAAAAACCCAGAAACTACAAAGTAAAGTTAGCAAACATTTAGAATAGAAGCAGCAGTTACATTATGTTTTAATTTCTCTTGTTTAAGTTACAAAAGGAGCCTCGTTTATTACTACAGGTTCTGCAGGAAGATAAATGAAGCATGCTGAAGCTAGGAAATTAACAAAAGCATGCAGCCCTAGCCCTTATCTGACTGGGTGACCTTGAGTAATGTACTGCTAGCTACTGCGTTTACCCCTCTAGACGTCATTCTCCATTCCCCCTCTATAAAAGCCTTTTTTCAGTTTAATTCTAAAGTGTGTTGTAGAAACATCACTAAAGCAGAAATTATTTCTGTGATTGTCACACTTTTGGGATTTGGCTGGCCATTCAAAACCTGAGCTACACATTTGCAGAGGTACAGTCATGGAAAAAAGTGATAGTTGTACATGCTTTACTATTTACAATGAAGATACAGAATGAAGTTATTTTTTTAAATTGAAGTATTCCTAGTAGTTAGGGAGGCATATGACCTGGTACCTTTTAGACTTCTGTCCATTTATACCTCTGGTGCATTCTTCTTTTACAATAGTGTTTAAGGATTTAAAATCCATTCATGTGCAGAAGATGAAAGTTTCAACGGCAAGTGTGGTAGGACCTAAACCATCAACTTCTACAGAATTTAGTCTAAGTTTCTAGTTTATGGATACAAAAAGATAATCTTTCAGATGTTAACACAATACAGGTCAGTGAAGTATTAGCGCCCTGAGTCTTCAAACAGCTCCAGTGCCTCCGCTGCTGCTCATGTTTGTCAAGCAGAATACTGAAGGTAATGTGATTTGCTTCAGTTTCTCAACTGCTATCCAGAACCCTGTGAGGAGTGGTGAAAATGTCCAGAACCATATAAATTTTGTTTTGCCTAATTGGGAAAACTAGCTGCAGCAGCAAAGACCAGCTATTAATTTATTCAAAGAGAATCCAAGAGAGAAGCTAAGGGGAGGGGGTGAGGGGGGGAGGAGGAGAAAGGGAGATGTAAAATAGCTGACACCTTCCTTCCCCTTCCCCACCCCTAGGAGTCCAGAAAAGGGACAAAGAGGCAGGGTAGAACCTGATATGAAAGATGGAGTTTACACACAGGGCCCTGATGGGACCATGATAAAAATCCCAGCACCTAAGGTTGGCAGGCCAAGGGCTTACCAGCCCATTACCCATCACATCAACGATGGGGCGGCCAACATTATCTTTTGTGTCTTCCTCTAGATAGTTAATTTAAACCTCTGGCTAGTAAGTATCTGGCTAATTTCTCAAATTTAGATTCTTATGATGAAATCTTACAATGCAAATAACTTCACAGCAAAAGTGCCGTGTGTATAAATATAAATAAATAAATTAATGGAGATATCCTATCTCCTAGAACTGGAAGGGACCTTGAAAGGTCATTGAGTCCAGCCCCCTGCCTTCACTAGCAGGACCAAGTACTGATTTTGCCCCAGATCCTTAAGTGTCCCCCTCAAGGATTGAACTCACAACCCTGGGTTTAGAAGGCCAATGCTCAAATGACTGAGCTATCCCTCCCCCCTGTATGTGGAGAGGGGACTAGCACCATACAAATAGGAATGATTTATCACAAGGTGAGACTGTTAAGGAGGGGAAGGGAATGAATCAATTTGTTAATACAAGTTATATTAAAGGAGTAATACAAATGTTCTAACACACAAAAGCAATACAATTCCAAATTACAATATCAGCAGCCTCCCTATGTACTGCATATATGTCAGTCTGCTAATACACTAATCAGATTCCCTATGGGGGGGGGGGGGGAGGAGAGGAGAAACATGTGTCTCAAAGTTTTGACACTATTACGATTTAAAGAAAAAAAAAAAGAGGGTTCACCTAGGACAATCCAATAAAGCAAGACATAACTCATTTCTTTGAAAGGTCCTACAGACTTCTGTGGTTGCTAGCTCATTTCACAATGTCTAAGCATGCAGTTACTGTGGCTGATCATCCTGTAGGTCTACTGGCCTGAATATTTAGTTACCCTCCCAATACTGATGGTACGACCCAGATTTACAATACTATAACCCATATGAGAAGTGAAAGTGGACCTCCAGCACATTTAGATTAACAGTCATATATGCAGCTTTAGCTCAAAATTGATTCAAAACCACAAGAGGGGCATTTACATCAATAACCTGTAGCAGCTTTAGGGTTTGCATGATTTTAAGTGAACACAGTTCATAAAAAGGTACCATATTGCTGAAAGCTGCCCTCCCCTCAATGACATCTGCCTACAGAAGAAGTATGGCATGGACAAGTACTGTGCAAACTTTCTTATTTTCAACCAAAATCTTAGTCACCATCTTTAGGGCCAAGACAGCAGAATCTGTCTCTATACCCCGTTCAACAAGAATGCCAGAGGTGCGAACTGTGAAAGTTGGATTTGTGAGGTACACAATTGCCCACTAGGAAGTGAACCAAGACCACCTTATTTCATATTGGTCACTGAGACCTCAGTGACAAGGATTTAGTCACATCACACCTGGGCACAAGCCAAACTACTTGTACTCAATTACTAAATTCCCTTCACAGCTATTAAGATAGTGAACTTGATCTTAGGATCTATTGTTTTGCCTAAAATGAACAACTCTCCCCCCTCCCCCAAACCATACTGAACAAAGCTGTCAAGCCAGACAGCATACAATCATCTTACAGAATAGCAGATCAATGACTCAACTACCAAAACTTGGGGGAGCCCACATTTATCAGAGAAATTTATTTTCATTGATAAAGGCCTGTAAAGCATACTGTTTCTAGGACACTTCATTTGAAGCAGATGGCTTTGAAGACTTTAAAAGCTTAGACTAGAGTAACTCAGTACATTCTGGGCCTAGGGATACCAATTTATTCATTCCCCTATAAAAGGTAAAGAAAAGCCAATTTACAATGAATGTAGTTTAATGCTCCATTTTCTCTGGGTACGAGCGTGTGGAACAATCCTACCATAACCCACAAATCTGACAGAGCAGCCATATAGGATAGATAAGCAATCAACTTTCACTAATATACAAGGGTCAATACAGTCACAGAAATTCCCCCTTCACGTTTAACTTGTTATTGATCCAGTGAATGGTGCACTTCAATATGAGTTCAGTATGTTTCCAATGCAGTACTCAGTTTCCTTTCAAAAAGGCACAAATGATCAGCAAATAATGGAAACTTTTCTTCTACCTGAGCAGGCTGTCCAAGATAAAGTCCATCTATTACTTAAGAACAGGCAGAAAACACTCTCAAATACTCAAAATGAATTTTTGCAGCTGGAGGCCTTCAGTAAGAGGTCCAGATTATGACATGCGTCTACGATATTTCCCAATACAACAGCCTCTAAAGGTTAACAATCTGATGCTAACAGGAAGACTCAGACATCAGCGTACAGTCAAGTCGACACAGCTGTAGTAGCCACTGAAAAATCTGATTTGCAGCCTTGTCTGGGTCACTGCAGATGAGAGCTACCTATTGCATATTGTAACATGACTAAGATGTGATGCTTTGGATCAACAGCTGAAAAGCAGTAAGTCGCAGATAATTTCTGAAAAAAGCAGATGATGTGCTACCTTGAACAGCCAGTGTCTTTGCACAATTCTCTGAAGACTAGATAAAAAAAATCAATATTCGCTACCATATTGGTTTATGACTGAGTTGTACAAAGTGGTGAGCCCTTTCATTTCATTAGAACAATAGCTCGAAAGGTTTTATGATCCAACTTATTTCTCCAGGAGCTGGGCAACAGGGAGATCTTTTCCCCCACCACCCCAGCAACACTGGAAAGTGACAGTGAGACAATACAGAATCTTCAAGACTTGCTTCTAGTAGTTAGATGTCCTGTTGGGATGTAAATAACCACAATGAACAAGTTGCATTTAACACCTGCGATAAATACGGAATGAGAAAGATGATGAATACACAGCAATGAATTTTGCACAACTAGCAAAACCCACGAGGCAGTGGCCGCTTGTCTCTGAAATCACTTTTCATAAACTTGCTAAGGAGCACCATAATTTCCTCAGACACCCTAGATTTTACGCAAAAAAAGTTGTTTGGATTTGAAACCCTCTCTACCAATCTTTGAATATTTTTGTTTTAGAATCACAGAAATTACGCTTTTCCACCTCTTCTGGGATGGACACTAACCCCTAATTATAAATACAGTATTTCCCCTATATTATAGTTTAAAGTGACTTGTCTTAAGTATCTTTAAAAAACAACAACGGGTGAATGCTTATTTCTATTCATTTTGCCAAGGAAAATGTTGTAAAATAGTATTTCTTTACAAAATAGCCACTTTCTGTGTCATAAGCCCAACCACCGAACTGCAAAGTAACAATCTCTCCCCAAAGCCCCCAGAACCTGCACCTCCAGCTGTCTGACCTCCTTCAACCTTGCATCCACATAAACCCCTTAGGGGTCCATCTCCCCCCTCGCACCCAACACTCCCTAATTACTACAGAGGGGAGCTGTTTTCAGAAGCACTCTGGTCTCCTGGGTGATGAAAGGCGCTGCACAGACACAAGGTCCGGGAGAGAAAGCTGGGCAGGTGGTGAACAAGGCCTGAGAGAGCCACGGGACTAGTCTCCCCAGCTCCCCACAAGCTCTACCCCAACGCTCCCCGCCCATGCAGGGTGCGCCTAGGGCGCCCGCCCCTGCCATCCCCGCTCCCCCCTCGCAGGCCTCGCTCCAGCCCCCCGGGCCCTTCCCCAGAAGGAGGCGCAGGCCCCTGCGCCCCACACGCAGGCCGCTCCCCCCTCTGCCCCACTAGCCACCTGGCCGGGCCGCCCCGCTCCCTCTCCCGCCCCGAGGCCTAGCAGCGGCTCCGAGGCCTCCTCCTGCGCCCGGGCTCCGTTACCTGGCGGACCCGGTGCAAAGCGTCGGCGAAGCCCTCGGGTTTAATCCCCACTGGAGCCGCGCTCTGCCCCTGCGCCAGCTCCGCCATTACACGCGCCAGCCACCCCCACCACTACCGCCACCGCCGCCGCTCCGTCCTGCCTGCCTCTTTCCGCCGCCTGGGCACCCGTACCCGGAAAAGGAAAGGGCCTAGACTTCCGCCGGAAACAGAGGGGGAAGGGAGGATCAAGCCCAGCAGATAGGGGGCTTTCACAATGACGTAAGCACCCCGCCAGAACGAGGCTGCTTCCGGCGCGTGCACCCCTTGCTCGGCGACGGTGCTTCTCGTGCGCTGCTGGCTCCACATGGCTCCCTATGGGGAGAAGCGTGGACCGAGCCCCGCACTACTAACCCATCCCACGGAGAGCCACTCGGCTCATTGCCCTCCCTTATTTATAGCATCGCTCATTAGCGTCTTAATTAATGATGATAGTCCTAGGTAACATAGTCCTGCCATGAGTGCAGGGGACTGGACTAGAAGACCTCTCCAGGTCCCTTCCAGTCCTAGGAGTCATCAATATATCACACACTTATACCAAGCCCTCAGGGATGTTTGCCCATAAAGTTTCCCAGCTTGCTAGTTTTGTCTGTGCAGCCCCTACCTCCCCCACACAAGGCCCAAAAATCATGTCCGAGTCCCCAGGGCATCAGAATGTGACACAGTGATGCCATGTGATTATTGCTGCTGTTCCATTATAAAGAAAAAACACCAACCCTAGACCAGTGTTTCTCAATTGGGTACACAGAGGTCTTCCAAGGGGTACATCAACTCATCTAGATATTTTCCCAGCTTTACAACAGGCTACATAAAAACCACTAGCAAAGTCAGTACAAACTAAAGTTTCATAGACAATGACTTACTTATATTGCTCTATATACTATACACTGAAATGTAAGTACAATATTTATATTCCGAGTGATTTTTTATAATTATATGGTAAAAGTGAATTCAGTGATAGTGTGGCTATGACACTTCTGTATTTTTAGGTCTGATTTTGTAAGCAAATAGTTTTTAAGTGAGGTGAAACTTGGGGGTACACAAGACAAATCAGACTTCTGAAAGGGGTACAGTAGTCTGGAAAGGTTGAGCGCCATTGCATTAGTGCGTTGCAGTGCAAGTCACCATCTCTGGAGCACAGAACTATTTCCCAGAAAAAGAGCATTTTCCCTCCATGGATGCTGTCCGAGGCTGCTAGGGATGGGCCTAAATTACTATTTCTGCTCATGCAAGATGCCTAAGAATGTCTAGTCACTCTGCTCTGGCCCCAGGCATTTCTCCAGCATCCCCACTCACTCCTGACATGGCACTGGCTAGTACTACCCACCTAAACATCCCCATTCCAAGCTATCCCAGTGGAGTAGTTAGCAATGCGTGTCTCTGGGCTTTCCGATGAAAATAAATACATTTTCCTCCTTTTCCACTGCTCCAGTTTCCTTGTCACCTCTCATGCATGTATCGTGAGAATCTAGCTTCCAAGGCAGAACTATTCCTAGCCTATTTAAAAAGTTGGTTGAATTCTAAAATATGTTGCAGTCATGGATTCAGAGACACTAAAATAGCCAGGTCAGAATCTGTGTTGTTAAAAGAGATGTCAACATTAGAATTTGTGGTCATGTTTTAACAGGTGTTAATTAACAGGATTGTAAATTCTAGTCTTGACAGGTGTCAGGGGGTCCACTCACCACTGGTGGCACCGCCTCCTGGCCATCCTGGAAGTCAGCTCTGCTAGGCATTGCATCCTCCTCTCACGGTCTCTCCCACCATCCTCTCATCCTGCAGCCCCTCTTGCTCCTAAAACTGCAGCCTCCTTTTTGTGAGTCAGCCAGGTCACAACATGGTTCCCCATTCCAGGGGGAGTGTAATAAAGTCTTTCCCAGACCAAATCATCCCAGGCAGTCCACTTTCTTCTGCCTAGTATGTGCCACGTCCCCTGTAACTAGTAGGGGAAACCAGGCCTCCACTATCCTCCCTTACTGCTTTTCCTACCTTCCTCCCTCTCTGGGTTTGTCAGCCTCCCAACTCCCTCTTCTCAGGAAGTAATTGTAGACTACCCTCTAGCCCAATGGTTCTCAACCTATTCACCTTGTGGGCTATATATGCAGCTCTCTCTCTGTGTTACGTGGGCCGCATCCACAAAATATATATACTACCTGCATAGCCTTGAGGATGTCATATGGGCCAAAGCTGCATGCTGATTGGGCTGCAAGTGGCCCATGAGTTGAGACCCACTGCTCTAGCCCCTTACTGGAAAACCCCTCCTCCTAAGGAGCAACTGCAACCTACTTCCCTGTGACCCCCTTCTGCTTTCAGCTCCTGAGCTTTATACAGGCCCCTCCTGTTCCTCCTCAGCTGGGTGCTATCAGCAATTAGGTCCCAGTCCGCCCTGTCTTCTCCTCCAGGTGCAGCCTATGGAGTTAATAGGCCTACCTGGACACCTTAACCCCTTCCAGTTCTGTGTGGGGCAGACAACCCATCACAACAGGGAACAAACAGTTGTGGCAAGTCTTGTTTAACACTAGCAAGGAATGTTTGCATCATGTCTGCACTAGACTGTCCAGTCGCATTTGTTAATGTGCGTTAAAACCAGACTAAAGATGCAAGCGTGAAATGTGTGAACATGCAGCACCATGGCATGTTGAGAGACACATCGGTCATACCGACATCATGTCAGAGACTTGTGTCCACTACACTTGGGTACAACAGTGGTTGACAGACTTCAGAGGTGGCACTGCTCTAGGTGTTCAGGGCTTTGTATTACATTAGCATGATTATGGTTTACATATCAACTGTTGTCTCAGTCAAGGGATACTCTCTGAAAGCCTGAGTATCCTGTCTATCAAGAACCCTGGATTATATGAGGACTCCAAGAGTAGCTCAGTTATGGGATATGGTCTGGTCCCACCCACGGCTTCAGGCCAAATCCAGAAGTTCTTACTCAATCCTTAGACAACAGGCCCATTGGAATAAATGAGAAATTTGCTGGAGTAAGGCGTGAATAAGGATGTCAGGTTTTGACCACATGCCAGCAAAAGTGCAAGGATCACACACAGATGCTGCAAGGCCGAGTCAGTCAAGGACGAAAGCAAACAACACGCAAGGATCGTTCCTAGATCAGGACGTTTGAGCATATTCCACACACAACCATTAGGTCATGCACGAATGATCCTTGCATTTTGACCGGTGCTGACTCCTCTTCTCGATCTAACCTTGCAAGGGGTTTTATGCAAAGTAAGTAGCTTAAGGTGTATGTTCGTTGGAGGAGGGACCATGTGTTCTTCTGTCTCACGCACACCGTCACTGCACAAATAATAAGGTTTCTAAATGCCTAGATGCTATGAAGCTCCCTGTAAGTGCTCAATAGATTTTAATTTTCTTTTTCCAGGTTTCCATGGGTACGGTTCCTTCATGCTCATTATGGAGCTTTAAGAATTATTAATTGTTAATTATTATTATAAAGATTTCTAAGATTCCACAGATACCCCCAAGTTATTGGGGTACTCGTTAAGGCCTTGATCCTTGATTACTCACACTAGTAAAGTTAAGTAAGTGCGTGTTTGCAGGATCAGGGCCTACAGCAAGGCACTGACACTCAGAAAAGAGGTGCATAAACTATGAACTTTATTGATTTCCTCTGCATTGCACAGATCCCTTGTACCATACTCACAGGGCCTGCCCTGATCCAATGACTATGAAATTAGTGGGAACCTTTCCTGATATTCCTAGGGCCTGAGTCTCTATTGCCCTGCACCGTATCCAGTTATTTACATCAGTGCAAAGTGAGTACAAAATGCTATTGTTTTGAGCTGGTAGCTTTTCACACCCACTTTGCAAAGGTGCAAAGGACTACACCAGGTTGCAGGAAAAATAGGCTCCTCATGCCCTGAGCTCTATGTAAAACCTTCTGAGCTTCACAGGTATGACAGTGGCATACAGTGATGAAAGAATAGGAGTACTTGTGGCACCTTAGAGACTAACAGATTTATTAGAGCATAAGCTTTCGTGGACTACAGCCCTAATAAATGTGTTAGTCTCTAAGGTGCCACAAGTACTCCTGTTCTTTTTGCGGATACAGACTAACACGGCTGCTACTCTGAAACCAGTGATGAAAGAGCTTTCTTCAATGAAAGGCTTGTTTATTGCAGCAATAGGAACGATGCATTGAGAGAAAAGGACTGTAAACCAAGTCTGTGTGGTTGTCTATATTGCCTAAGGACCTACCATCCCGTGCTGGTGACTTCTGGCTTAGCTTCTCCAGACACCCCAGCAGGCACCGGTATCTCATTGGCGTGCCCCAAAACAACTACTCCCTCTCTCTTGGGAGAATCTTTTTAACCCTTTGCCCCTAGCCCGGGCCCTGGTCCTACAAAATCGGTTTGGCCTGGGACAGGAAAAGGCTGGTGAACCCAGAAGAGCAATCAGTTTGGACGCCAACTTCCCTCTGCCTTTTTTTTTTTTTGGTCTGGCTATTTATTTGTGCTCAGCCGTGGGAACGGGGGTGCCAAAAATGTTTTCCCCCCCAAGCAACTAAACAGCTGGGGCCACTGCAGCACAGGCTAGCTGGAGAGGCGGCCAAATGATTTGATTATAATCAAAGCTAATCGTTCTGCCATTCTCCCTGAACATTTGCTGTGAGGCGACTATCTTCAGCCACTCTTGCCCTTCCTGCTGTTGTTCCAGACAGACTCCTGTTCAGTTACCACACTACCGTCATGCAGAAAACACCCTGAGAACTAGGCCAGCATACAGCACTCATCAATTAAACACCAAGGTTCTTTGCCATTCTTTTTGCCCCATCACAATTATACATACAGTATCTTTTAGGTTGTAAGCTCTTAGGGGCAGGTATTGTCACTCACCGTGTTTGTACAGTGGGGACACACCTGATTGTGGTCTTTAGGCGCTACTGCAGCATAAATGTTAGCTATGGGAAACTAATTAAGACTTATAGTAATGAATATGTAATACATATTAAATGATAAA